TGAAGACAGAAGCTACATTCCCTGAGGCAGAAGGAGCTTCCCTGGAGCAAGGGCAGAGGGCGCAGGGCCATGAGGGTGCCCAAGTCGACCTCTCCTGTGGTAAGGTCTCTCTGTGCCTGGATGTGCTTGGGGCACCCCAGTGAGTTTGATGGGTAGAGAGTTCAGTTCAGGAAAAGAATTAAATACTTCTTCACAGAACACAGAGTTAATTCGCAGCACTCAATGTCCACTAACTGTGATTCCTCTCAAAGGAAGTTCAGACAAATTCGTAGAAGGCAATTCCTCCCATTAATTTAAATATTAAGGTATCTCTTTCCTTCCATAAGAGGAACACAACATGGCTGAAAAGAGCAAAGGTAAACAAACCTCAGCAGAGCTATTCAACCTGGTGAATCAAGGGAGCCTCCATCTTCTGGGGCAGCAGAGCCCTGAAAACCAGTTCCGAGGGGCCAATAATCATGGGGAAATGTAGCCTCTCTGCCCGTGCTGAAAGGGGCCTCTGGCGGGCTGCTGTGGGAAACAGAATGCTGGAGGAGGGATGGCGGGCTCAGTATGGCGCAGCACCCCCAGGAGCTTTCGGGAGGGGCTTTGACCAGATGTGCTGTCGTGCTGATGTTGCATCTTGCTGAAAACATGGTTGTGAAGTTAGAATGCCAAGAGATGCCCTGAGAACTCATTCATGTTACCCTTGAGTCTCTACATGTGCTCAAGTCATGTCTGGGCCAAAGGTGACGGTGAGGTGTCATGCAATGTCATTTCCACCCCCCTTTTCCCCCCCTCCCAGGCCAGACACAGGTCTCACAGAGGTCTGAAAGATGTTGGCAGTGTTTATAATCCCTAAGGCTCATAGGGACCTGGTGTTTCTCTTCTGCCTCTCCCAGATTTTAGTAAAAAGTGTTTACTAAAAGAAAAATGTGTTGAGTGTATGCAGGGCAAGCTTTCACGACCCTGGGAAGGATGTGTGAAGCAGGGGGAAAACAAGCAAACACCCTTCCTTCCTCCTTTGTCTCAGGAACAGGCAGTGAAGAGATGCTGTTGAGCCCTTGTCTTTTCAGAGGTGTGGAAATGGCTGCTGTGCCTCCAGTTCAGGTAGGAGAGATGAGGGGGGGGGGACAGCCTGGGTCCCTCCTCCTTTCTCAGGGGGGCTTTTGCTCCTGCAGTTTCTACAAGGTGTCCAGGCGAGAGATCCTCTGAATGCCGTTCCCTTTACCCATCCCAATCCTTACATCCTGTACCTTCCCAGACTTCTCCCTTCCAGTGTGTAATCTCTGCCTGGTGTGAGCTTTGACAAGGGAATCTGCTTTTTCTTTCAGTGTCCATTTTCCTTTGAGGAGGTGTCCGTCTATTTCACTGAGGCAGAATGGGCCCTGCTGGATCCGGGACAAAGAGCTCTCTACACGGAGGTCATGCTGGAGAACTATGGGAATGTGGCCTTTCTGGGTAAGGAACTTCCATAGGTGCCAAGGTGCAAATTGCTGCCATTGGGTTCAAGCATGAATCAAGTATGTCCCAATACTTGAGGATGGGCTGTGGCTCACTGGCAGAACATCTGCTTGGCATGCAGAAGGTCCCTGGTTCAATCCCCAGCATCTCCAGTTAAAAAGGGTCAGGTAGGAGATGATGTGAAAGACCTTTGCCTGGCGAGCTGCGGCCAAACTGAGTAGATAACCCTGACTTCAATGGACCACGGGTCTGATTCAGTATAAGGCAGCTTTATGTTTTCATGTGTGTGTACTTGCACAAGGGCAACTGAGGCCAGTGTTGTGAGCTTCACCCAAGCCAGAGAAGGTGTCCGGGCCTGAGGCAAAGGAGATGAGAGGCCCTCGGAAGGACCCTGGCATGAGCCAGATCCTCACTTGTCTGTTCCCAGCCTTTACAACACACCCTTCCCCTTGGGATGGGATCACAAACATCCCACCCTGCCTGTGATCTGGAAATGATCCTGTCAAGAACCCAAGCCTGGGTCCCCCCGGGTCACTCCTCTTTGTACCTGAGCAGCACCCAGTTCAGTGGGTTCACGAGGAGAGTGCACACAAGTAAAGCAGGTGTTTTAAATGTATATAAAAAGGTTTGTTAAGGACTTAAAAATAAGGCATCAGTTAATGGCAGAAGAAAGGTACTAACCTTTAAGGCCCTTAGTGGTCAGGAACCTACATACCTTCGGGACCACCTCTCCCAGTATGCCCCTGGAAGAGCATTACGCTCAGGAAATAAGAGCCTGCTGGTGGTCCCCAGCCCGAGAGAAGTCCAGCTATCCTCGACCCGGGCCAGGGCCTTTTCAGCCTGGTGGAACGCTCTGCCGGAAGACATCCATGCCTAGCGGGAGTGGTTACCTTTCCGCAGGGCATGTAAGGCAGAGATGTTCCGCTGGGCTTTTGGTTGAGGACAGCAGTGGGACGTCTTCTGGCACCCTTGTATAATTCCCCACCCTGCAAGGCCCCTCCCCCAGGGAGGCTGGGGAGTATGGATCTTTCCGCCAGATGTATAAGAAAGACTATGATGGAGACAGACAGAAAAGGCGTTAGCACTTTTTTATGCTGGGATGTTTTGTATGGTTTTAGGACTATTTAATTGCTTACTCGTGTTTTTTTTAAAAAAAATATTATTATTTATTTATTATTTCGATTTCTATCCTGCCTTGCTGGACGAACTGGCTCAAGGCGGCTAACAAACATTAAAATACAGTAAACAATAAATACACTAAAATTTCCATAACCAGCATAAATTATAATAAAAGCAATACAATTGATGGCGGCATTCAGTGTTCCCTCTAAGCTGAGTTAGTGTGAGCTAGCTCACAGTTTCTTAGCCTCCAGCTCACACATTTTTGCCTTAGCTCAGGAAGGAGGGCTCCAGAGCAAACTAATTTATGCAGCAGCCAAATTATTTGCTCACAGCTTTAATGCCAGTAGCTCACAAAGTAAAAATTTTGCTCACAAGACTCCGCAGCTTAGAGGGAACATTGGCGGCATTTAGTATACAGTCCTCTGATGGAAGGCAATGTCCAACGGTATGTCAAAGGGCCATGGTGTATTCCGGCGACTCATTCGTCAGTGGCGGCTCCTAATCGAAAGCCTGGTGGAAGAGCTCCGTTTTGCAGGCCCTGCGTAACTGTAAAAGGTCCCACAGGGCCCTGATGTCCTCTGGGAGCTCATTCCATCAGTGTGGAGCTGCCACTGAAAAGGCCCTGGCTCTTGTAGTAGCCAACCTGACTTCTTTTGGGCCAGGGAGAGTCAGGCGATTTTGTGTCCCTGACCTCAGTGCTCTCTGGGGCATATATGGGGAAAGGTGGTCCCTCAAGTAGGCAGGCCCCAGACCATATAGGGCTTTAAAGGTCAAAACCAGCACCTTGAAACGAATCCAGTAAGCTCAATTTGGTCCCATATAGAGAGGCCCATCAACAGCCTGGCTGCCACATTTTGCACTAGCTGCAGCTTCCAGATTTGAGACAAGGGCAGCCCCATGTAGCGAGCATTGCAGTAGTCTAATCTCAAGGTGACCATGGCATGGATCACTGTTGCCAGATCACTGCATTCGAGGAAGGGAACCAGCTGCCTAATCAACGGTAGGTGGTAAAAGATTGCTTTGGCAGTGGCTGCTACCTGGGCCTCCACTGTTAAGGCAGCATCCAGGAGCACTCCCAAGCTCCTGACCCTCTGTGCTGGCATCAGCGGTGCCCCACCGAAGGTCGGTAGTGGGATCCCTACCCCCGACCTGCTCCGACTCAGGCACAGGACCTCCGTCTTCGTTGGATTTAGTTTCAATCGGCTCAGTCTAAGCCAGCGCACCACATCATGAAGCACCGGTTTCAGGTCATCTGGGGTAGAGTCCGACCACCCAACAACAGATATAGCTGGGTGTCATTGGCGTATTGATGACACCCTAGCTTGTGCCTCCAGGCACTCTGGGCGAGGGGGCGCATGTAGATGTTAAATAACATCGGGGACAGGACCACCCCTTGAGGAACCTCTGGGACGTCTGTTCCCCTAACGCCACCCTCTGTCCCCGGCCTTGGAGAAAGGAGATGAGCCATTGCAAGGCTCGCCCCTGAATCCCAGTGTCGGCGAGGCGGTGGATCAGTGACTGGTGGTCGACAGTGTCAAATGCCGCCAACAGGTCCAACAACACCAGTACTGCCGTACCACCTCGATCCAGATGCCTCCGGAGGTCATCTGTTAGGGTGACCAGTGCCATCTCCATCCCATGGCCCAGCTGGAAGCCAGACTGAAACGGGTCTAGGATGGAAGTGTCATCCATGCAGCTCTGCAACTGAATCGCCGCCGCCCTCTCCAGTAATTTGCCCAAATAAGGCAAATTGGAAACTGGCCGATAGTTGGGTCAATTTTTATTCTTTTATGTAAGCCGCTCTGAGCTGGCCTCAGCTGTGTGGGTGGGGTATAAATCTGATAATAAAATCAAAATTTTAAAAAATGACCTTGCATCCAAAGAGAGGCTGGAGAGTTCCTCCAGAGGATCCCAAGAGCATATTTCCTTCCCAAATATGCTGTCTATTCTTCACGGTTATGTCAAGGGAACATGCAAGGAATAGTCATGGGGGAATTCTGATTCACTTCTAAGCAACATTTGGTTTTGTACAGTCATACAACATGCTGGGTAAGGAGGGAGGGAAGACTTCTGGGGCCTGAAATCTGGAGGCTCAGAAACTCCTCCTGGGCAAAAGCGCAGCTGTGGCTCTTGAGCGTGAGGTATCCTTAAATACTAGATATTCTGGGGAAAGGTGGAGGGGTGGTAAAGATCAGCCGAGCTGGATGAGGCCAAAGGGCCATCAGTCCTTTCCTACTCATTCTCATAGATGCCTTTGGACCTGATCAGTCCACCCAGGTGCTAACAGGATCTATCTATTTATTCCAGCAGACAATGATCAGAGGAATGGGGAGGGTGAGGAACTTCTTCAGCAAATGCCAGATAAAATTAAACATGAAGACCCGAAAGAAGACATCAGGAATCGAGGCAGACCTAAGAGAAAGAAAGGCAGCCACATGGTTGAGAAGCAAGATGGAAGAAAACATAATGTATATTTTCCAAAGCACAAGATAACGAAGGAAAGTGAATCCATTCAGTGTGGACAGTACTTCAGAAATAGATCACAGCTCCTTGTGCACCAAAGAATACACAGAGGTGAGAAACCTTCAGAATGCTCAGAATGTGGAAAGAGGTTCAGTATGAGAGGGAATCCTCAACAGCATCAGAGAACCCACACAGCGGAGAAACGTTTTGATTGTTCATTGTGTGGAAAAAGATTCAGTGAGAGGGGGAGCCTTCAAAAGCATCTGAGAAACCTTACAAGGGAGAAACCTTTCCAATGCTCAGTGTGTACAAAGAGGTTCAGTCAGAGTGGCTATCTTCAGCAGCACCAAAGAACCCACACAGGGGAGAAACCTTTTGAATGCTCAGAGTGCGGAAAGAGATTCAGTATGAGAGGGAATCTTCAACGGCATCAGAGAACACACACAGAGGAGAAACCATTTAATTGTCCAGTCTGCGGAAAGAGTTTCAGTCACAGTGACACTCTTCAACTGCACCAAGCAAGCCACACAGGGGAGAAACCCTTTGAATGCTCAGTGTGTGGAAAGAGATTAAGTCGGAGTGATCATCTTCAACGCCATCAAAGAACCCACACAGGGGAGAAACGTTTTGAGTGCTTAGTGTGTGGGAAGCGATTCAGTCAGAGTGGTCATCTTCAACGGCATCAGAGAACCCACACAGGGGAGAAACGTTTTGAGTGCTTAGTGTGTGGGAAGCGATTCAGTCAGAGTGGTCATCTTCAACGGCATCAGAGAACCCACACAGGGGAGAAACGTTTTGAGTGCTTAGTGTGTGGGAAGCGATTCAGTCAGAGTGGTCATCTTCAACGGCATCAGAGAACCCACACAGGGGAGAAACGTTTTGAGTGCTTAGTGTGTGGGAAGCGATTCAGTCAGAGTGGCCATCTTCAACGGCATCAGAGAACCCACACAGGGGAGAAACCTTTTCAATGCTCAGAGTGCGGAAAGAGATTCAATAACAGTCGCACTCTTCAGCTGCACCAAAGAACCCACACAGGGGAGAAACGTTTTGAGTGCTTAGTGTGTGGGAAGCGATTCAGTCAGAGTGGCCATCTTCAACGGCATCAGAGAACGCACACAGCAGAGAAACCTTTTGAATGTTCAGAGTGTGGAAAGAGATTCAGTCAGAGTGGCCATCTTCAACGGCATCAGAGAACGCACACAGCAGAGAAACCTTTTGAATGTTCAGAGTGTGGAAAGAGATTCAGTCAGAGTGGCCATCTTCAACGGCATCAGAGAACGCACACAGCAGAGAAACCTTTTGAATGTTCAGAGTGTGGAAAGAGATTCAGTCAGAGTGGCCATCTTCAACGGCATCAGAGAACGCACACAGCAGAGAAACCTTTTGAATGTTCAGAGTGTGGAAAGAGATTCAGTCAGAGTGGCCATCTTCAACGGCATCAGAGAACGCACACAGCAGAGAAACCTTTTGAATGTTCAGAGTGTGGAAAGAGATTCAGTCAGAGTGGCCATCTTCAACGGCATCAGAGAACCCACACAGGGGAAAAACCTTTTGAGTGCTCGGTGTGTGGAAAAAAATTCAGTACGAGTGACAATCTTCAACGGCATCAGAGAACGCACACAGCAGAGAAACCTTTTGAATGTTCAGAGTGTGGAAAGAGATTCAGTCAGAGTGGCCATCTTCAACTGCACCAAACAACCCACACAGGGGGGAAAGCTTTTCAATGCTCAATGTGTGGGAAGAAATTCAGTCACAGTGGCAGTCTTCAACTGCACCAAACAACCCACACAGGTGAGATTTATTTTAAATATCCTTTATTCAACTTTCCAAAAGATACAAGAACATAAATCACTCTGACGTATATAAATTGTATTAAGAAGAAGAAGAGATTGGATTTATACCCCGCCCTTCACTACCCAAAGGTGTCTCAGAGCGGCTTACAAACTCCTTTCCCTTCCCCTCCCCACAACAGACACCCTGTGAGGTTGGTGGGGCAGAGAGAGCTCTGACAGAAATTGCTCTTTTTCAAGAGCGTATCAGAACTATGGCTTGCCCAAGGTCGTCCAGCCAGGTGCAAGTGGAGGAGTGGGGAATCAAACCCGGTTCTCCCAGATTAGAGTCCGCGCACTTAACCACTACACCAAACTGGCTCTTAATAAGTCAAAGCAACACAAACACTTACAAATATAACAACATATCTAGAAAAGGAAAGCTTTTAACCAACCTGTTGTCGAAGGCTTTCACGGCCGGAGTTCATTAGTTGTTGTAGATTTTCCAGACTGTATGGCTATGGTCTTGGCATTGTGGTACTTGATGTTTCGCCAGCAGTTGTGACTGGCATCCTCAGAAGTATAACACTGAAAGATGGAGTAGATATAAATTACCTGCCTACCATTTTTTTCCTCACATTGATATAGAGACTACTCTTTCTGTGTTATAGCTCTGAGGATGCCAGTCACAACTGCTGGCGAAACATCAGGTACTACAAGACCATGGCCATACGGCCTGGAAAATCTAAAACTAATTTTATCCAACAAATTAACCATTTAAAAGAAACATTGCATTATAAAGTAAAATAATAAACACAGTAAGTTATGGAGTTGGGAGATAGTATATTCTAGGAAAGGGAGCCCTTTATTCAGCATGTTGAAAAAACCTCAGTGTGGGTCTGAGATATTAATTTGACAATTTTGTCCATCAGAAATATTTCCCACATTTTCAAAAAACAATCTTCAGTCCTTGGCAAGGTGGGTATTTTCCAATACAAAGCTATTAACCATTTGGCCTCTACAAGGAGCATCATTATAAGTTCCTGTCAGTTTTTTGAAATTATCGAAGTGTCCCATAGATCAAGTAAGATCAGGCTGATTAGAAATCTGATAACCAGTGATTAACTCAATAAAACATAAAATAATAATAAATAATAAAACTGGCCCCACTGGTGGACCTCCTGATGGCACCTGGTATTTTTGGCCACTGTGTGACAGAGTGTTGGACTGGATGGGCCATTAGCCTGATCCAACATTGGCTTCTTTTATGTTCTTAACAAAACTTTTCCCTAAAATTGTGCGACTAAAGGACATGTCCACAACAATGTATTGTAGACTCCATCTCGCCACAACCTTTCCAACACTTAGCGTTGTTTATCCTGTGTAACCACAAAGGGGTTGTGTACCAACTTGTCATAACTTTGTATTCTAAGAGATTTGGATCTATATGTAGGAGGTTTCCATATTTTTCCCCATTGGGAATAATTAAAATAGACTTTACAATCCCTATTCCATGCTAATTGATATCGTAGAGGCTTCTCAGTAGTGAATTGCATTAACAAGGTATTTGAAGAATCTATCAGATGTTTCAGTTGAAGAAATTCAGACCGTGGGTTAGGGCATATGGATTTATTTTCCAGCTTCAGTTTTTCAAACATTATACCATCATGTGAAATATCCATTAATCTAGTAAGAGCCAGCCTTCTCCACACCGAGTAAAAAGAGCTACCATTGCCTGGAGGAAACCGGGTTTGATCTAAAAAGCTTGAAATCATAGAGGGATGAGGAGCAAGGAGATTCTGATATTTATCCCAAGTTTTTAGCAAGGAAACCAAGAAGTTGCTATGCATAATGTCTTTTGGACACTCCCCGGGCTTACACCAAAGTATACTATGAAAATTTTTAGGATAAATGAAGCTTCTATTGATTTCCAACCTGTCTGATATGTATGAGTATAAACTTTAGGTAAAAAGGATAAGATTGACGCCTTATGGTATTCTTATAAGTCAGGGTAGGGTAAGCCACCCTTATTGAGTGTCAAGTCATGCCAAGTCATTAGTAACCCCCGGCTGGGGAAACCACCGGGCTTGCTGCGCCCACATCCGACTCCTAGCAGGCCTTGGGAGGTGATTTCCATGGACTTTATTACGGACCTCCCTCCCAGTAAATCTATGACTGTCATTTGGGTGGTTGTGGACTTATTTTCTAAACAGGCTCACTTTGTCCCGTTTATGTCCCTCCCCACGGCGAAGGCCTTGGCCAAAGCCTTCAAGTTGCACGTGCTCCGTCTGCATATGCTCCCATCCAAGGTGATATCTGACAGGGGAGCCCAATTCGTCTCCCGGTTTTGGGGGGAGCTTCTGAAACTCATGGGAGTTGAACGGGCCATGAGCAGTGCTTACCACCCAGAGACTGATGGACAAACGGAACGGGTTAATCAGATGTTGGAACAATATCTTCGCTGTTTCACCAATTATCAACAAGATGATTGGGTGGACTTGCTTCCCCTAGCCAAATTTTGTTACAACAACACGTGCCACTCGTCCACTGGACTGTCCCCCTTTAAGGCTTTATATGGCTATGACAGTCCCCCGGTGCCCTTTTTGGAGGAGCCAAGTGACTTGGGGTCGGGGGATGTGGCTCACTGATGCCAACATTTGAAAGACTCGTGGCCACTCCTTTGTAAGACATTGAATGCGGCTAAGGAGGCTTAAAAGACTCAGGCTGACGAGAAGGGTGGAGGGTTGGGCTGTGCATCCTGGGGATTCGGTGTATGTGTCAGCTAAAAACATTAAAGTATTGCATCCTAGTTGGAAACTGGGGTGGAAATACCTTGGTCCATTCAAGGTGAAAAGAGTGATTAATGATGTGGCAGTGGATCTCGATCTTCCTAAGAATTTGAGGAATTTGCATTCTGTTTCATTTCAGCCTCCTGAAACGGGATTCTGGGTTGAGCCCCTGGCGACCATCACATCCTGTACCCCCTCCTATTATGCTGGAGGGAGAGGAACATTATGAAATCTCCAAGATTTTGGATTCTAAAGTGAAACATGGTCAATTGTTTTATCTGGTGGAATGGCTTGATTTCAGACCCCAGCACCTCGAATGGGTGGAAGTAGGGGATATTCGGGCCCCTGTTGCAGAAATTCCACATGATAGAGGTTTACAAGTTATGTGTGGGATAGAGCAGGTAGGGAAA